GGCCGCGCGAATCACTCAGGTAGCGTACGCCTTGAGCGATAACGCGAACGCGTCGGCGACTCGCGCTCCGATTCGCATAAAAGACATGGTACCGTGCATCCGGGAGATTTTGCTGCGCGTCTTCGTGCTGACCGCGCAGCGTCCGTCGCCGTCACCGACGTTCGTTTCCTCCAATCGCTCGGAGCATCGAACGACGGAGAATGGGAGCAGCGGCGCGACAACCGTCGCGGACGCGATCGTCGCCGACGTCGAAGCGAAGAAATGCGGGACAGACGGAGTCGCGCGAACCGGCGCGAAAGGAGACACTCGCGCCGTCGATCGGACTTGCGATTCGGCGACAACGTTCGCTCGGGCGAATCATCTCGAGTTCGATTACGACGAGGGTGAGGGAGAGGTGAAGGCCATAAACTGGTTGTCTGCGCACAGTGGCGATCGTCCGCTTTTGATAATGGCGCGGGACAACGATGTCTTCGTGTACATTCTGTCGAAACTGACGCACGACGCGAACTAGACGTCGCGCAACCTCGACGACGAACCATCTTCGGTTCGACTAGCGCCGTATTCGGTTCGTCCGAGGCGCGTCGACGATCGCGCCGACGATTTCGACGAGTGGGACGACGCGAGGCCGAGATCATGGCGGAAGCAACGAGCGACGGTGGCGAACAACGACGCGGCGATGACCGTGGTCGACGAATATCTGATGTATCACGAGAGCACCAACAACATGTTGCTCTGCTGGAAACATCGGAATCTGCACTATGGCACGTGTTGGATACTGTTGCTGTGGTTCGGTGTGTGCTTCGGCAACGACTTCACCTTCGGCGTACTTGACAAATCAATCGCCACTATGACGCACTACTATCCTCTGCTCGAGCGTCACTTCGTCTCCGTGAGCGCGTCGCTGCACCGAGGCGACGATAACGGGATGAGCGCGGTGATTCGTCTCTTCACGCCAGCTTCGTGATACGACGCGATCGGCGCGGAAGCAACGACGGACGATGAACCGAACGCTGTCGATCGATTTCGCTCGATAGCGGATGCGCGGACGCTGACCTTGGCGTTCTGTGAGCTACAAGAGGTTCTGCGTCACGGCGGAGATCGCGTTCGTTCGCATCGATCGATCGAGAGCGCGTTCGTCGACGATGCGACAACAGTGGCTATCGTCTACGATCGTTCGAGGATCGAGTCGTGCACTTTTGGCTGGCTCGGCAACTCTGGAGCCTCTTCTACGTACTGGAGCTGCCGAGTGAATTCACCGGGAATCAGCGATTTCGAATGTGTCTGCGATTGCGCATAAACGCGACTTTCGACAAGCCCTTCGTGTCGAACGAAATGTTTCTGCGACTGCGACCGAGCGATTTTCATCGACACATCGAATCGATAATGCGACACGGTGTCTAGCGACGCGGCACGTAAGACGCTCGTTCTTGCGAATGCGTTGTCGACGTCATCGGTGACACTGTCGATGCTGTGTCTCGCTATAGTCGCGATCACGACGACTCTCGTTTACGCGATGACTCGACTCACGCATCTGGTGTTGTACGCGTCCGCTCTCGTCGATGAAACAACAGCGGTCGCGCGATACGGAGAGCGAGTGCCTCTTCGCGTCTCTCTCTGGCAGAACGAACCGAGTCGCGACAACGATACCGCGCGCTACAGCGCGGCGATCGGTCGACTCGTGTTCGACGAGACAACGGTGTGGACGTCCGCGCCGTCGGTTGCGTCCGCGCGCTATTCCGACAGCGGTGCCGAATTGACGAATTCGCTGGCGCGAGTTCGAGCTCGGGAATCGTCGAAGCAACGGGATTTCGCGGCGAATCTGACGCGACTGTGGAACCATCTTCGACGCGCGTGGTGACGAATCGATGAGGTTCGCGCGAACAATCGCGATCGGCGGGACGTCGAGTGACGATTCCGACGAGTACGCGATCGACGAGTATCGAAGTCGTGCCCATTACGACGACCTGCTGGAGCGCTATTCTATACATTCCTAACGACCGTCGGTTCAGTAATGTAACGACGTCTGTCGATTGCACTACCGACATCGATAGTTGAAGGCTATTCTGTACATCGCTCGTATCGACATTTATCGTTGCAAACGACGGTCATCGGTACGATTCTATCGATAAATACAGGCACGATAAAAAGGTAAAGAAATATATTTTTCAACCAATAGCATTACAGTTACATAAGAAAGTACATCGAAGGAAGTGATACAAGAAAATCCGAAAGGTATACAATTTATATTAATAATATAAAAACTATAAAAAAATAAATTAAAAAAAAAATACATTTATATATGTAATTGTTACTTTTGTACAAGTAATGTTCGCAATATATATACTATAAGTCATAGCAGATAAGTGTAGAAACCATAAGTAGGTTAGATAAATATTTAGTTAAACCCTCCTCACTTAGATTTTGATAAAAATTAATGAATCGATTCGTTTCCGTGCGTAGAAGGTTTCGAAAGTTATAATTGTCGCTTGACAATGGAAAAAGAGTAATAGAGCGGAGAAGTAGTGACATGTTGAAGGTTAGGATACTTGTCATACTGAATAGAAAGAAGCATATATGTTAATGTACAAAGCGTAGGGAGGGTTAAATTAAACATTTACCTAATTAAGGAATGTACTAATAACTGACTTAATTCATTTATTTTGCATTATTACAAAATTAAATCTATATATTTTCTTAGCATGAAAAGAGTACGCTCATTAAGAACAACCCAAACGCAATATGAAGAAATAATAAAATACATGGAAACCCATACAGAATTTGCTGCAAGCAAATATCTCACAAAGGAAGGAAAAAAGCATGATGCTCAACAATGGGAGGAATTACATAAAATGTTTAATGCATTGAGTAGCAGCCCTGGGAAAACTGTGAAACAATGGCAAACTTTAATTATTTAATTATTATGTTATATTTAGTGTGCTTGCATAGAATTAGTTTATACCAATCATTTGATACACATATTAAATATATATGTGCTAAATTAGTTTAGTAATTGGTTAAATATATTTTTTTGTATGCACACAAATTATTGGTATAAACTAAGCTATATTCATGATATGTTAAAATAGATGTTATCAACTGTATTTAAAAGTCCATTATATAAATTGTTTATTAAGGTTTGGAGTGATCTAAAAAATAATGCGTCCAAAAAAGCATCCAATTTAAGAAACGAGAGAAATCGTACTGGAAATTTTCCTGTTAACGCTGAGCCGTTGGATGATATGGAGCGACGCATAATTTCTTGCATCGGCTTGGAGTATGTGCAAGCTGCTTCTGATTGTCCAGACAGTACCCCAGAGGAAGAAGTAATATATTCAAAATAGTATCTTTATGTCTTTAATTATATTTTATAATATAAATTACTTAAGTTACAAATTATTCATAGTTGTATACAGGGTGAGTCAATTAAAGTGTTACAGACTTATATCTTGGAAATGAATAATTTTACGATGCTATTTACGATGCTCATTCGGTCGCAATAACAACCGAAAAATTCGAATACACAGAGCTCTCTGACAGTGTATCAACAGCGCGGTCACTGAACGTTCTCGAAGCGTGCTCTTATTGTTCGCTCGACGACAACATGCGATATGCTCGTGTCATAGCGGTCGTCGAAAGCAGTATCAAATCAAGCGATGACAGCCGATGCGAAAAAAGCGCCCTATACGGACCAATCATCTAATACCAGCGCATTCAAACTCGGTCAACAACAGCAAACCGAGATGATAAACGATATCTCGGTGGCGGATGGGGAGTTAGCGAGTTGATCCGATCGACGAGCGGACGCGTAATCTCACCGCAGCAGTTGAAACCACTTAGCATCAAAACGGATCTTCCCGTTCTCTTCTCCCTTTCTCAACCTCGGTTTTCGTATTGGACCTTCTTCATCTTCTTCGTAAAGCTCTCGACCCGGCGTCAGTTTGACTCCTCTTATCTCACCGTCTCATCGACTTGGCTATCCTATTATACCCCTCATTCTCCTGTCGTTATTTATTAATTCGGGCCATATCGGAGGACACTTCCGCTCAAGTGAAAGCCAATTGTGCGGTGCCGAACGCCGCGATCGGTACTCCTGCTCGTGAACTCAAACCCCCCTCTTTTTGTATTATTGCGTTAACCCAATGTATAGCAGCGTAACGTTAATTGTGTAAATTGTCCATTAAAGTCAGAGGAAACCGACCACTTTTCCGTCATTTTGTGATTCACCATACCCACCGCGCTCTCTCTGAGCGGATCCGGCACATTTGTGCGATCACCTAACTACTTGGCGACACCACCGCACACGCAACAAAACATATTTCAAGAGCTTTCCAAAACACTACAACAAAGTATTTTTTTGTTAAGTACATCCCGAGTTATGAAGCTCCAAATTTACAGTATCGTCGGCATTAGCATTACCCAAGGTGTACCGCGTGGAGGTTGCACGATCGGATTTACACCTCTTGTGTGCGTGCGTACGTGTGTGTGTGTGTGTGTGTGTATGCGTGCGTGCGAACACGCGCGCGCGCACACATACACACACACGTACGCACGCACACAAGAGGTGTAAATCCGATCGTGCAACCTCCACGCGGTACACCTTGGGTAATGCTAATGCCGACGATACTGTAAATTTGGAGCTTCATAACTCGGAATGTACTTAACAAAAAATACTTTGTTGTAGTGTTTTAGAAAACTCTTGATATACGTTATAAGAATATGCCAAAAAAAGTAGGGCGTTCCATTTGAAAAATTGTTGGTGACCTTCATGTAACCTTCAAATGGCTAACCAAGGTCTAATCAATGATACCTTCTTATGTCCCATTTGATACCATACAACTTTTGTCTGAAACATTTTTCTCTAAAATTATTCATTTCCAAGATATAAGTCTGTAACACTTTAATTGACTCACCGTGTATATATATATATATTTTTTAATACAATATACAAAATTAATTATAGTGTTCCAAATTTTATATAATTTTACTTTTTGTAGGAATATCAGAACAGCTTGAAAATGGTAACGAAGACATTTTAGGAAATCCACCAACGACATGATCAATAGCAGACATTTTAAATGAGGAGGATGTTACTCACGATAATAACAGTAAGGAAATACATATTAATTACATAATAACATATCTGTTAGTGAAATTTTCTTACTTGAATAGTAATTAGTTATTCCTTATTTATTATTTTACAGGAAGGAACAGACAACGGATTGGTACGCAATTGCAAGAAGCACGCGATAAATTTGCAGAGATCGCAGAAAATCATACAACTACTTTACGGGTAAAATATTTGTTATTGATTTATTATAGAATTCTGATTATTATAAAAGTTATTAGTTATTAGTCTATTTAACAATAATATTTTCTGTCTTTTTGTAACAGTTACATGCAGAGGCCTCGATGAAACTGGCTGATTCTGCACTGTTAGCAGCTCAGAACGACTTACAATTGAAGAAAGAAGAATTGCAATCGATGAACAGTAAATTAAAGTTTTAGATAATTTACAAAAAATAGTAGATAGGTTATTATAAAAGGTTATTATAAAAGTTATAAATTTATTATGTGCCTTGTCTTTGTACATATTATGATGTTACAATACAACATAATATTATTATTATAATTTATATTAATATATACAAAATTAATTAATATTAATATATACAACATAATATTATTCTTTAAACTCTACTATATTGGCGAGCTATTAGGTTTTCTTGTATGCGAATTGCATGTGCTCGTCCTCGAAAGATACGTTCTCTTTCGTTATCTTCAACATCTGCGTTAAGTCCCATGTGACGGAAAGCTTCGATCTCCATTTCGTCTACTTCTACTTCTTGCATACGATGTGCAATTCTCATATTATGAAGCACAGCACATGCGTTTACTATCTTACCAGCCATGCCTGGCTTGTACATTAATCGCCTCTGCACTGATAAACATTTAAATACCGCTTTCCACACACCAAACAAGCGTTCTACGCATGACCTTGCACTACAAAGATTGTTATTATATCGAAATCGTGGAGAACCAGGTATTTCGTGCTTCAAGGGAGTCATCAGCCAAGGTTCAAGATTATAACCATCATCACCTGTAAAAAGATAATCTTTATTTATCACCGTTTAATGAATAAAACCTACAATCTTACCAATTAACCAAGTATTGCGTTCTCCATTGTTAAATCGTCGTTCCATGATACGATGTATGGGAGAGTTCGACCATATGTATGCGTCATGTCGTGTGCCAGGATATCGTGCGTTTACATTTAATATTTTTAACTCGGGATCACAGATCTGAAATTATGATTACAAAAAATAGATTTTGGGATATTGAATTAAAAAAACTCTTATTTTATATTTTAGATTATAATTATATTGAACTTTAATATATAAATAATACGTACTAATTAGGCATTGATCGTGTGATCACCTCAATGATTAACATAAGCCTCCTCATGTTCTTTTGGTCCTTTAATATTAATATAAGTGCAATTAATCGCTCCGATAGCACCTGGAAATAGCTGAGCTGCAGTTCTGAATTTTTTTCGAGCGACATGGCGTTCCATATCCGTCATGGGAAATTTAACCCATCGTCGTAATAATAAATCATTTATCGCATTGATTACTTTTCGTATACAGCGACTAACAGATGGTTGACTCACTGCAATATCCCATTGCTCTCCGATTGCACCTTGGTAATAGCCGACGGCATAAAACCTGAGAGCAGTTAATATCTGAAAAAAATAGTTTGGAATAAGCAATGATTAAATCTAAAAGCGATAAACTTTCTATAACTTATAGTCCTTAAATTTTACTTTAATGATAATATATGCACAGATTCATAATAACATATGACATTGAATTACTATTGTTCGCTCTTTGGCGAAGCGAACAAGAGGCCAGGACGGCTCAGCAATGAGCGCGGGGTGCGACTTAACAGGAAGATAATGTGGTCTCTTTTGTTTTTTATGGGATCGGTCCTCCATTTCCGTCCTGGTCAGCTTCGACGTTCGTCGAGGCGCTGGGAGGCCAATGCTCGCCCGTTGAAGCGTGAGCACAACTCGAACACGCGATCCCAATTTTATTATATAAAAAAATACAAAATAAACTTTAACAATGTACGATGAATGTGATCATGCGTCGCACGTCCGTTCGAAACGCAATGCGTTGAGGCCGCAATCGTATTTCGGACGATGAGGTTCGACCGGAGCGGTCGAGCAGCTGAGTTGGAAAAACCGAAAAACGGAGCGGAACAAACTGAACTATTACTTGCGAGCGGTTTCGTGCGAAGAGAAGATCTGATCGACGCGAGGAAACGAAAAGCCGTTCGTCACTTCGATCTTACATGTATTGTTTTGTTTTGTGTCGCTCGGAGATGATATGGTAACCGCTATTTGGTCGAAAACGTTGCCATATTAAGCAGTCACATGCGGACAAAACGTGACAACAACTACGCGGTGTCCGATATCAAACACGCACGGCGTGCTCACGCGAGAGTCACGCAGGATATCTCGTGATATCGAGAATCCTTGATTTCGTCGACACAAAGAGCGGTGCCTTGGACGGATCGCAAACAACTATAGTATTTTAAATGAGTGCAAAATAATCAGTATCTGGTGTTCTGTGCTGAGACTATATGGACGCTGATGTTCTAATCGTGGTTCTAAAATATTAGCCAATTCTATGACGATATCTGGAGTTAATCTATATAATTTAATAAATTCATCATCGTGGAGGTCGAATGGATCATGGGCATCTCGCCATTCTCTCCTCTCCACATGGCGTTCTAAACGTCTTACTCGATGCTCCAGATTTAATAAGTCCCACGCAAGAAATCCTTCTGCCATTTGTACTACACTAGAATGCAATATGATATTGCTTAATATATTACATGTTATTTGGAACACAATAACAAATTTACGATTTCTACTAATAAATTTTTATAAATTATCAATAATTAATCAGAAAGTCATGAGTTTCACATAGTTACTTAAATATATCCCTGGTGAAAATTTTTTACTGAAAATTAATGATTTTCTCTGAAAAATTAGTTTTTCATAGAAAGTAAAAGATTTTCAAAGTATGTCATAGAAAGTACGAAATTTTTATGAAAAAATATAATTTTCTCTTTCCTTTTCAATGAAAATCTGAAAATATCTGAAATGTTTTCTGAATTTTTCAAAAATTGTTCCAATCTACTGAGTTTTTCATAGTTTTTGTTAGATTTTCAGCAAAATTTTTTCAATCAAAATTTTTCCAGGGATGTTTAGATATATCCAATTTTATATCACGTCAATAAAATTGGAGATAATTAAACATATATGTATCTACACATTCTTTAAAGTATATTATTAATTGTAAGATAAAAGGTAAATCAAATTATGTTAGGTTAGGTTGGCTTAGATTACCTTGTTCTAATAATCTGAGTTAGCCTATTTTCATTGCGTGTTAAAAGTATATAATATTAATATGAAGAGCATATAATATTTCTATATTATTTATTTAACAAATATTTACAGTGGTATTTAATATTATAGATTGTAACGGTAACGCCCGCGGGGTTCGGTGCGATCGGTCGCCCACCGTCGCGCCGGCTCGCCGCTTCCGCGACTCCTCGCTCGCCGCCGCGCCGGTGCAATACTCGGGTGAAGGGCTAGTTCAAGGTAGCTTCTCGGAAGAAATGTGTGTTCAGCGTTTCTGTGTTAACAAGTTGGGTGCGGCCGCAAGGCGCCCCGTTTATTTAAAAGACGTTCGATGCTATATAATAGATATATATATATATAAGTGTATGTGGGCCGCTCGCTGCCCGGTGTGGCGTCGGTGATGTCCGTTCCTTGGTGCCCGTGATTCCTGCGTAGCCGCAAGGGTGGTCCCCTATCCGAGGGATCAGAGGGGATGTTCCGCGCCTTTTGGCGGTCCGACGTCCTCGGCCACGAGTCCTGTTGAGGGCGACTTACGCCAGCTGTTCTTTGGATAAGCGGGAGGTGGTTTATTCCGGGCAGCGTACCACGGTCACAAAGTCGGACAAGCACTGATAATTCCGCGAACCGATGCTTCGGAAATATTCTACGTCGGTGGCCAACGGCTGCCGATGCAGACGGACGAACACTTATCCTCGCGCACAGGAATTTAGAAATTAATCTACGTCGGTGGCTAATTGCTACCGACGCAGACAGACGAGCACTTATGAATCGCGGAACGGCGGCGAACTGCTGCCGTTTGGGCGGACGAGCACTTATATTCCGCGCACAAATACTTAGAAATATTCTGTGCTGGTGGCTAACTGCTGCCGATACAGACGGACGAGCACATATAAATCCGCGAACAGATACCTAGAAATATTCTGTGCCGGTGGCTAACTGCTGCCGACACAGACGGACGAGCACGTATAAATCCGCGAACAGATACCTAGAAATATTCTGTGTCGGTGGCTAACTGCTGCCGACACAGACAGATGAATACGGTAAATTCGCGAACGGATACTTAGAGATATTCTGTGCCGGTGGCTAACTGCTGCCGACACAGACGGACAAGTACGGTAAAGTCGCGATGCCTGGTCGGCCGACGAGGCTCGGCTGCCGGGTCTTATAAAATTTCCCGGTGGTTCGGTACGGTGTGGAAGCTTTACTCACCGGCGGATGCCTTGCCTTCTCATCGACTTCTCTTCACGATTCTCGCTGGACTCTCCTGGTAGCTGATCTGGTGGACTCACTGTCTCTCACGGTCTGCTCGATCTCTCGTCGAGAGCGGGTTTTATACCTAAATTCCTCTCGACGATCGGTGGCCGATAATCGGGGGATTAGTTCCCCCGATTTCCCGGAAAGTCGCGCATGCGATTTTCGCGAATTACCCCTTTCTGGGGGGACCGTCTTCCCGACCGCTTCGCGATTGGGCTTTTTCCGGCGGTCTGGCAGGTTGCCGTGGCATAGGTGTTGCCGGGCGCTTGGCGATGATTTCTCGCGATCGTGTGACGATCGTGGTCGCCGTCACACGATAGTAACGGGGGTAAAACTCCTCGTTACAAGATAAACTCACCTTTGTCACCTTTCCAAATTTTATTGCTATGTTACTGCTCCAATGCATTAATGA